ATCTACCTGCCCACAAACATTTTTGAAAACACTGGAGATCCATATAAATAGCTCTTTTAAAAAATTAGAAAGTGCTGTGAAAAATAAAGACTAAGCTGCCTCAGCCTCCAGAATGCTGGAGTTATAGGCATAAGCCTGCAGGTTCAGCTAGGATGTATTTGTTTTTTTTTTTTTTTGGTGCCAGAGATCAAACTTGGGACCTTGCACTTGCAAGGCAGGCAGTGGAACCACTGAGCTGCATCCCCGGCCCAGAGCCATGAAATTTTAGTTAACTTAAAAGGTCATTAAATATCAGGTAGGTAGCAGAAGAGTATTTTGAAAGAGTAAATCATGGCAGGAAAATTATTTTCTTTTCCAGATAGTATGACAGGCTACAAACAGGGCAATCAGTTGATTTAATATCCTGATGTCCTAAGGCTTTTTATTTTGCACTGTATCTGTCTTTCTAGGAAAGTTTTTTTTTTTAATCTTTATTCCTTTTAGCATAAACTGTTTTAAGTGATTTCATGGTATTGCCCAAAGAATGTTTGTCCCTGGCTTGGTGTCAGGGCAAATCAACTAATACAGCTCAGTGATAGGGCGTTTGTAGCATGCTCAAGGCACCAGGTTCAGTCCCCAGCACAACACAATAAAACAGGCATCTATAGCACATTCTTTTCAGTAATTTTATTACCACAATTGATAATCAATTTTGATCTATAATTTTATTGTAGAGTCTTCTTCTTTTGGTATCAAGGTTATATTAACTTTATATAATAAATTAGGGAGTTTTCCTTGTTCTAGTCTCTGAAAGTATATAAGATAGGTAAATCTGGTGAAGTGTCTTTTAGGGGTGGGAGGAAGACTTTGAATTGTGCATCCCTTTTTGAAACATACTGTAGATTAGGGTTGGGGATGTAGCTTGGTGGTAGAGTACTTGCAAAGTCCTGGTTCCAATCTCTATTACCCCCTAAAACCAAAAACTTGCTATAGGCCAAAGGTTTTTCCAGGTTTTATAGCTCTTGTGTCTGTTTGAGTAATATTATATTTCTGAAGTTATTCACTTGTATTGGCATAAAGTTGCTGATAGAATTATCTTAAGACTAAGAGCTAATACATACGTAGTTATGCTTTCCTTTACATTTTATATATTTGAGCTAGGTGTGGTGGTACACACTGGTAATCCCAGAATTCTGTGAGACTGAAGGAGGGATGTTACAAGTTCAAGCCCAGCCTTTACAGTTTAGCAACTTAGAAAGACCTTACCTCAAAATAAAAACTTTTTTTAAAGATCTGGGGACATAACTCAGTGCAAAGGCACAGGTTTCAACCACCACCACTGCTAAATAAATAAGTAAACATTATTGTCTGTGCCTTTACACTTTTTTAAAATTTATATCAGTTTTGCTGGAGATCTCACACTAATTCTTTGAAAGATCCAACTTTAGGTTTATTCTCTGTTTTTTCTATTTCATTCTGCACTCCTATCTTAATTCTTTTTCTTCCTTCAGCTTTTTTGGATGCTCACTATTCTTCCCCCTATCTTGAGTTGAAGTCAACTCATTTGTGGATTAGGTTTTTCTTCACAAATCTTTTACTTCAAAAAATTTTAGCTGGGCATGGTAGGAATTGGAGGATTGCCACAAATTCGAGGCCAGCCTGGGCTACATAGTGAGTTCAAGGCCAGCCTGCACTAAAGCACAAAACCCTGCCTCAAAAAACAAAAAAAAAAATTTTTTTAAACCTTCCTGAAAATTGCAGCACATCAATACCCAGAAATCTTTCACGCAGAGTTACTGATTGTTAATATTTTGGCATATTT